TCGCTGTTCATTTTCTATGTATGTATGTATGTATGTATATTTACTTTTATGCATATGTATGTATACTCGTTAATGCAAGTATGAAAATATGTTTTTTGTTGCTTTATTATAATTAATTAATTTTTTTAGATTTGATTTCTGTTTATTTTTTTGTTTTTTTTTTTTTAGGTTAGTTCAAATATTTAGTTCGAATAAAGTATATTGAAAGATATACATACGTTTTGTTGTTGTATTTTTTTTTTTTTTGTATTTGTTGTATTATTTTTTATTTCTTTTTCTTTGTGTTTGATAGCAATATCACATCAACTTTCATATTTCATGTGCCATTAATATATTTTTCCACCGAGTTTTGGACTGAAAATGAACTCGGTGTCTTTGAATTCAAACAGGGACGGTAAAATTTACTTACAATAAAATCATTATTACTGCTTTTAAATTTCAAAGTTGGCTTCTTGTTTGTATGTATACACAAGTTTTGTAAACATTTTCAACTTTATACACTGGGGCTCACAATAAAGTTAACGTCAAAATTTTACAATTTCTATAAAAGGAAGTAATTTTTGGCTTTTTCAGCTTATTTTCTATAAGGATTACAGAAATTAACACACATAAGTTATTACAAACACCAAAATTTTACAACAAACATATGCAAGAATGTATGTATATATGCAGAAGTATATGGCGCATACATACACATGTACATATATAGTTTATAGTTTCAGTTATTTAAGGAGTTTTACTTCAACGTAATTCCATTGAATGGCTCGGTATGAGTACAAAATGTATTCAGGTGATTTAATATATATATGTAAATATTAACGTTGTCATATATTTTCTTTTAAATTACAACTAAAGCTAAAGTAATACTAATATATAAATAATAAAAGAAATGCAAAAAAGTAACAAAAACTTGGCATTTAGCTGTCTCCTGGTTAGAATTTGTGTTTTGCATACAGTGACATACTAACAAACAGTTTGATTTTCAAGTAAATGTAAGCCAAGCTTTGGTTTCACTTCTATTAAGTTACGTTAAGTTAAGTTAAGTTGAGAACGAACGGCTTTGTGGAAGGTAATGATAGTTAGTTTTATATTAAAATTGCTAACAACTACAATAGTTATAAAATTGTTGGCTTTAAATAAGCAGCCGCTACGGTAGTGATTAAAAATGCGTTGCATACTTTTAGGCATTTAATTTTTTCTTTGAGTAATTAAGTTATATTTTGCATAAAAACGTGTAATGATGTCTTAAACAAAAGAAATTGTGGCTGTATTTCAAATGCTTGTGTTTTATAGAAAGTGTGTGTGTGTGTGACGCTTATATTTCAAATTGAAGGGGTCATGATCAAACGACAATTGGAATGTTCTACCGTTAAAATATTATTTTTGTTTCGAATGACGACAAAAACAAATTTAAACATTATTTGATAACACAGAATATAAAATTTTTCCAGTACTTAAGCAGAAAACTCTCCATAAAGCTCAAGTCTACACATATAGCACTTGTTTGAAATTATTAATCAAGACTTTTATTGACAGTAAATATAGATAAGAGCCCAAATTATTGAACAGTTCTAGTATAGAGATAAATTAACTCTACAAAATTTACAAAAGTCTACGAACAGTTCTATCAAATGGTTCAAGTCTGCACTTTTAATATTTAATTGAACGTTTTTTGTTGTATTTAGAAGCTTTTTACTAGTAAATGTGCAAAAATAGTAAAAATTAATATTGATTATACATTTAGGCAAGCTCTACAAACTTCGAGAAACTCTCCAAAAAGCTCAAGTGTGCACACAGACATTTATTTTGGTTGTAATTCTTCGTTTCAGAGAGTTCGCACGACAAAATATAGTTTTAACAACATTCTACTAAACATAAAAAACTGTCCAAAATGCTGAACCTACTTGATTGTATTTGGAATTTTTGCACTAATATACATATGTGAATAAATGTCAAAGTAAATATTGAAAATTTAGGCAACATCCAAAACCTTCAAAAAACTCTCCAAAAAGCTCAAATCTGCATATGGAAATTTACTTTGAATTTGTTTTTTTTTTTTTGTAAGTTTAAGTGAATTTTGATACAATATGAAATTTAACTATAATTCTTTAAAAAACTTCATAACACTCTAAAAAAACCAAAAACTCTAAAATTTAGTATATGAAAATTTACCAAACTCTCCAAAAATCACAAGTCTGCACATAGAAATGTATATTGACTCTAAAGTAGTTTTTATTTTACACAATAAAATATAGTTTAAATTACACTTATAAAAAACTCTCCAAAAAGCTAAATTTTTTAAAGGAAAATTTTCCAAACTCTCCAAAAGTTCTCCAGTTTGCACGCAGAAATTTATATTGACAAAATATAATTTTATCTACAATTTATAAAAAAAACTCTCCAAGTTTCCAAAAAGCTCAAATAAGCACTTGGAAATTTACTTTGATGTAAATTATTAGGTTTCAGAACATTTCTGCTCGACAAATAAGCAAAAAAACAAAAAAAAAAAAAAAAAAAATTGGTAACTACAAAAAATTACAAAATAGGCTAAACCAGAACTTTTTCACTGTAAATTTTAGCAGAGGACAGTGAGAAGGGCATTTTTAGGTCTCAATAATAAAATTGTTGAAATATATACACAACAGCTATGTATGTATATGACACACAAAAACCATTATATATACACACTTTCTATAAAACACCCGTTTTAAGCCAATAAAATAAATGTATTATTACTGCTGCCTTGGACGTCATAAACTATACTGCTTTCATGCATTTGTGTAGTAGTATTTTTTTAAGTTTTTATTTGGTTTTGTTGTTTTGAGTTTATAAACTAATTTGATTATTTATACTACAACTGTATTTCGCCTACAACAAATTTTCGTTTATATATTATTAAATAATATCTTTAGCATAGTTTATAAATTACTTATTTAAATAAAGGTTTTTTCCATTTAATTCTACTTTTAGCTAGGAATACAGCTGCTTTTGCGCGAAGCGTTGCGCAGACGCCAGTCAACAGAGTATAAGGTGCCAGCTTGCAGCTCCCACGCCTTGTCGCGCACATTAGTGATGTGTGGGTAAGTGTGTTTTTTCGGCTAACTATATAATTTTCAATAACGTTACAAATGTCAACACCCTAATGCGGTGATTAAGCATATTTAATTGGTCATGCGTTGCATGCCAAGCGTGCCTCGAAGCGAATGCCAAATAAAATGTTTGGAAAATGAAAGCAAATTGCAATAACGCGCATGCTTAGAGACAATGGAAAATTCTTGGCGTGTAAAAAGATACATTTGCATTCACTTAAAGACACGCATGCGCATGTGGCGCGTCTTTATGCGTCACTTTTCTTAACGTAGTTTAGTCATAGAAAAATTTTCGTTCCACTAATCAATACGTTTTAAGTTTTTCTTTTACGCTAATAATAATTGTTTTTTTTTTTTGTTGTTGACAACTTAGTGTTGTCACTGTGTATTGATTTCGAAATTTCGAAAAACATACAAATTTCAATGTAATTTTCTTTTTCTTTTGTGTTTTGTTCTTTAGCGTACAGCTTAGTTTTTTTTAAACAAATTGTTAAACGATATTTTTTTTCAAAAATTTACAAAGTGCACTTAAAATTGTTTTGTTCAAACATGAAATTTTGTTCAAATCAAATGTTGTGTATTATGCTAATAGCTGCTTTTGTAGCGTTAATGGAACTTATATTTGTAAATAATATAATATAAATAGTTTATATATATTTGTGTTTGAGAAAAAATCACTTAAAAATACTTAAGTGTATAAGAAAATGTAAGTAACAAACCATTTTAAACAATACTATTAGTTAATTTCGACACACATGTCGACGGTAGCGAGTGTGCCGAGACACAATTGCCATGCGAATGTGTGTGAATAGAGAATACAAAATTGCACACAGTTTGCCAAAGAAGAAAGCGAAATTTGTTGGGAAACGCGGTTTCGGTACGATTTTTGGTACAAATTTGAGTGGGAGAGAGGGACAGTAAAGTTTTGTTGTTGTAAAATAAGCAACAAAGCGTTACTTTTAATTAACTAACATTGCTAGAGCGCCGCAAAGGTGCCTAAAGTTTTGTTGCTTTAATCGAATAGATCTGGCTTTCATAGTAAAATATAATGTTTTCATAACAATATGTTTATTTTTTATATTTCGACTTTTTTTCATAGTAGAAGTTCCATTTTATCAATCATTATAGGCATTTGGACTTTTTTTATATGTCCATGTAAGCTTTCTGTGACTCGTGTAGAACGATTTTTTTTTTAAATTCAATTTTTTCGCTCGACCTCAGTTGCTACTGGTACAACGGCGAGCTCAATTGTTTAAATTTTTCGATTTTTTAGAAATCTTCAAAGCTTCAAGCTGTAGTTGAAAAAACTTAAGGTGACAGTTGAAGCTTTTTTTGAATAAAGATCAAAGCTCCTCTTAAAATTTATAAATTTTCATAAAAATTCCATGCCCTGAATTCATTTTAAATTTAAGTTTTTCTAGAAAACTTGAAAGCTCAAAGCTAGAGTGGAAGCTTATTTTGTGTAAAGCTTTATATTTATCGATTTTCGATTCTATGCTCCCTCCAGAATACTTCAGAAATTTGAAGTTTTTTTTTAGAAAACTTTAAATCTCAAAGCTCCGGTTAAAAATTATTTTTTTAAAACTCCAAAGAATTATCTTGAATCTTAAATGAAGAGTTAGATGTCTATATCATATCATATTTTTCTCCTTAAAGTTTTTTCTTTAAGCTCAAAGCCAGAAGCTTATTTTGTTTAAAGCTCAAAGTCTCCTCTTGTCGATGTTCGAAATTATTCCTTTTCCGGAATATTTTTAAAATGTCAAGTTTTTCTGGAAAACTTAAAAGCTCAACGCTTCAGTTGAGGAATACTTTTTTCAGAGCTCGAAAAACAGTCTCTTGAAACTTTAATTAATAATCGGATTCTGAAAATCCTTGCATACCTTGTATTATTTTTGTTGTTGAAGTTGTTTTTTTTGAAGCACAAAGCTAGTTGAAGCTTCTTTTGTTTTAAGCTCAAAGCTCGTCTTTAAAAATTTCCATGTCCAGAATACATTTTAAATTTTAAGCGTATTTTAAAAACTGCAAAGCTCCAAGCTTCACTTGAAAATGACTTTCTTCAAAGCTTGAAAGAATCCACTTGAAACTTATAGTCACAATCCGAAAATCTTTCCATATCTTTCATTGTTTTTTTATTTTTGCTATTGTTTTTTAAGCTCAAAGCTAATTGAAGCTTTTTTGAATAAAGCTCAAAGCTCCTCTTTAAATTCGTCGATTATCGAAAAATTTCCATGACGCGAATACATTTTAAATTTTAAGCTTTTTTAGAAAACTTTAAAGCTCCAAGCTTCACTTGAAAATGACTTTCTTTAAATCTTCAAAGCAACTTCTTTAAACTTAAATTAATAGTCACAAGCGAAAAATCGTTTCATAACTTGTGTTATTCTTCTTCTTGAAGTTATTGTTTTTCTAAGCTCAAAGCTAGTTGAAGCTTATTTTGTTTAATGCTCGAAGCTCCTTATTATCCTTGACCAGCAAATTTTTTTAAATGTTAAGTTGTCTACAAACTTTAAAGTTCAAAGCTTCATTTGAAAATTAGCTTCTTTAAAGCTTAAAGGTTCTCTTGAAAACTAAATTTAGAGTCTGATTTCGTAAAATATTTCCAAAAGCTTTTTCTCTTTTGGAGTTATTATTTCTCTTTAAACTTGTCCAAAATCGTACAATGCTCAGCAAACTTTTTAAGTCTTAAGCATTTCAATTTGAAACGCACATTAAACTTCAATAGATTATGTATATTTTTGCACAACTATTGCTCTCCTCGAGCACTTAGCTCTCCTTTTTTGATTTTCGTATCATGTATTTAACAGAGCTTTTTGTAGAGTTGTTATTATGATCCAAATTAACGTTTTCAAAAATGTTTTTAATTGCCGCTAGATATGCATCTCTTTTTTTTTCTTGGGTTTCACAAGATGATGTGCAGACTTCAGATTTTTGGAGAGTTTTTAGTAACATCCGCGTTGGTGTATTCAAACATGTTTTGAATAACCCCAGCTCTTTTTTGATTTTCAGAACGTGTTGTGTAGGCCTGAGCTTTTTGGAGAGTTGCGATTACGATCCACATTTTTGGAGAGTTAACTTTACGATCAACATTACTGTTCGCAAACATGCTTTGAATTACCGTTAGATATGCACCTCTTTTTTCTTGATTTGTAAAACGTGTTGTGCGGACTTGAGCTTTTTGGAGAGTTTTTAACAATATCCACATTCGCGTTTTCAAGCATGCTTTGAATTGCCGTTAGATGCAGCATTTTTTTCTTGATTTTCAGAACGTGTTGTACAGACTTGAGCTTTTTGGAGAGTTTTTAATACGATCCACATTAGCGTTTTCAAACATGTTTTGAATTCAAGACAAATTTTGACTTCTCTTACAAATATGCATGATTACATAACAACTTAAAGCTTTCCACAGTTCCATGAATTGTCTTTGTAGAGTTTGAAACCAACAAATTTCGTTGTAAATTCCACTTTGGCATAACTGTGTGTACAAACATAAATGTTAATACATAATATAGTGTCGTTATAGTAGTGTCTTGTATTACTAATAGATAAGTAATAATAAAAACAAATTCTATGGACTAATAACGGTCACTTTTAAACCGAACGCTGTGTCTTTAGCTAAACGGGCGGAAGAATTCCTCAGTACGATGTGAAGAGCAGCAAACGATTATGATATTAAAATTTTATATCGTTATAAGTTGCTTAGTGCAAAAATTGCTAATTTTTTACGATATTGCTCTACTCCCCTTCGTATTTTTATAAACACCGTACTAACTGTTTTTGCTTTTGCTAAAATTCAGCACTTGCTTGAAATATTTTGCTCTTTTGATTTGCGAGACAAATTACTAGCAATTACTTCATACCTTAAAAGTGACAGTATGTATTTGCGTGCGTGTGTGACACGTGACTCGTGGATAGTGTGACAGTTTACACAAAAGTGACTTTACAACTTAAGCAGTGTATAAACTAAAGCTAAAATCTTTCGCTGCACGCTTATTTTATGTTAGAATTGATTCTGATTGCTGCCGGCCGGATTACGTGTTGAGGGTCGTGACGAGAAGGATTTGCCGCTGCTGCCGCGTTGTGGTGGCATCGAACGACGCGCGAAACGTGTTTCACTAAACGGAAGAGACAGAAGCGAAATTATATTAGTAAACAGAGAAATGTTAACGGTAAATAATATATACATATATACATATGTGTGCAATAAATGTGCAGAGTTGGGATTAACATTGTAATGGTTATATATAGGGGCGCTATAAAATATAAGGTTATGTTTATAGTTTGAGTAAATAGTTTGGTTTGTGCATGCAAGCCGCTTTCAATTTTGACATACATTTACATTTTCGAAAATTTTAAGTTCCTGTAAGCTTTCAAGGGTTAATAAAAATTTTTAAGACAATATTTTTGGGACACATACATATATATAGACTTATATAAATTTATTAACACACATATTTCATGGCGGTATATTATTAGCTGCCTTCGATGCGTCAATGGTGGCTAAATATAGATATTGACACTGCTGGCTTGTAAAACATTTTTAAAAGCAACAGTAAATATTAAAAATATAAAAACGAAAATTTCAAAAAAAAAAAAAAAAAATGGAAATAAACAATAAAATTAAAATTGAAAAAAATATTTGAAAAAAATACCAAAAAATAAAAAATTAAAAAATATATTTACAACAAAATATAATCCAAAAAAATAACCAAAATATAAAAATAAAACGAAAAATTAAAAAAAAGACAAAAAATTATTAAAAAATATGCAAAAAATAAAAAAAAAAAAATTAAAAACAAAAACAAAAAATATTAAAACGTTATCCAAAAAAAATATTTAAACAAAAAAATATAACAAAATAATAATAATACAAAAAATAACCAAAATAAAAATAAAAACAAACAAAATTAAAAGAAAAAAAGAAAACCGTCAACTTCGGCTGCACCGAATCCACAGGTGAATTTCTTATAGCATGCAAGTATATAAAACTGTTGTACTGTTGCTATGGACAATTATCAATATTAACCTCCTTGAAGATATCTGGACCGATATCAAATGAAAAAGTTGTCCATACAAAGGCTCGGTCAGTTTATATGGCAGCTATATGTTATGGTGGACCAATCGAAACAATTTCTTCAAAGATTGTGGTTTTGCTTTAAACAATATTCCGTGCGAAATTTCATGAAATATTTTATAAAATAAAATAGTTTTCTATGCAAAAACTTGATTTTGATCGTTCGTTTATATGGCAGTTATATGCTATAGTGGTCCGATCACAATAATTTCTTCTGAGTTAGTGGCGTTGCCTTAGACAATAATCCGTGCGAAATTTTGTGAATATATCTTGACAACTAAAAAAGTTTTCTATACAAGAACGTGGTTTTGATTCTTCAGTTTGTATGGCAGCTATATGCTATAGTGGTCCGATCACAATAATTTCTTCAGGGACTGTGCCATTGCCTTAGACTATAGACCGCGTAAAATTTCGTGCAAATAACTTGTAAAATAAAAGAGTTTTCCATACAAAGATTGGATTTTGATCGTTCAGTTTATACGGCAGCTATAACCTATAGTGGACCGATATTAACAATGTCGGTAAATAAGCAACTACTTGGAAAGAAAAGGTTGTGTGCAAAATTTCAGATCGATATCTCCAAAATTAAGGCACTAGTTCAGGCAGACGGACCAGTAAATTCTTTGTTCGAGCCATAATGTTCAAAACTTTGGCGCATCGAAGTCAGCTTTTACTATAATATACCATATATCATTTTGTGTTACTATATTTATTATTTGTGAAGGCAAAGTATAAGTGTTGTGATTCGTGATTCTTATTAAACATTTACTATAATATACCATATTATTTTAATATCCGCAGCAAATGTGTTTTCGTGTTTTCACTGTTTCACTAAAATTTTTTTATAAAATCACAATTTACAGTTTTGATTTGTGGCCAATAACCGGGTATAAATAAAAAAAAATGTTGTTGTGCGACGCTTGTAAAGCGCTAACTGGCATTTATAAAACATGCTTCATATAAATATTAGGCATAAGCAACTGCTGAATAAATTCACATATAAGCTGGCAACACACCAGCTGCCAATAATTATATTTGACGGCTTACCAATTGGGAACGCGGCTTAAAGTTTATTGTTGTTGGTAAAGTTAAACGTAAGTTGGGCGCAAAACTTTTAACGTACAGGTTAAAGTAATGTTGATTTTGGTGGGGTGAATGTAAACAGGATAAACGATAAAATAAAATATGCTTTGGGCAAAGATTTATCATAAGAAAAGAATTATACTTATATGAACAGCAAGCACTAAGCACTAATTTTGAACACGCGCACACGCACTTAATTCATATGATAACGAGGGCTGAGCAAATAGTTGCGAGCAAAAGTTGGCTCTGGTATAAGCCATTTTCTACTATATATTTTTTGATGTTTTTTTTTATAATTTAGGTCGGCTTGTTACATGTAGCCTAACGCCGCATGGGCACCCACCGATCGATTTCCATTTCCTCCATACGTTGAGTCAATTCAATTTTCTGCTGCACAGCTAAACGCAACAGCTGATTTAGAGTCTTCTTTTCCTCTTCAGCGGCTTCTAGTTTGCGGTTGAGGTCATCCACCTGTGTGACGTATTCCTCGCAACGAGCGGCGAACATGGCGCGCAAACCTAAAAGTGGAGAGTTTTAAAAATATGTAGAGAAATTTGTTATAAGCCAGAGATGAGTACATAAATAATTCAAAAAACATGAAAAACGTTAACTACGGTTGCACCGAAGCTATAATATCCTTAAAAAAAAATTTCCCATACAAGAAATTCGTTTTGAGGGATTAGTTTGTATGGCAGCTATAAGCTATAATGATCCGATCTGAAAAATTTGTTCGGAGATTTTACTGTTACCTTGGATAATAGTCTATACCAAATTTTGTTAAGCTATCTCGTCCAATAAAAAAGTTTTCTATATAAGAACTGGATTTTCATCAATCAATTTGTATGGTAGCTATATGCTATAATGATCCGATCTGAACAATTTCCGCTCAGATATTGTAATTCTTCCATATATAATAATCCTTGGCGAAATTTCGTTAAGATATCTTGTCAAATAAAAAAGTTTTTCATATAAAAACAAACATTTTATTGATCAATTTGTATGGCAGCTATATGTTATAGCGAGCCGATCTGAACAATTTCTTCAGAGATTGTAAGTTTTCCATGAATAATAATCCTTGCCGAATTTCGTTAAGATATCTCGTTAAATAAAAAAGTTTTTCATATAAGAACTAAAATTTGATCGATCAGTTTGTATGGCAGCTATAAGCTATAGTGCTCCGATTTGAATAATTTATATGGAGATTATAGCGGTGCCCAACATAGTAAACTATGCCAAATTTCGTAACGATATCTCGTGTAATTAAAAAATGTTCCTCACAAGGACTTGATTTCGATCGTTCAGATTGTATGGCAGCTATAGGAAATCCTGATCCGATAACGGCGGTACCGACAAATAAGTCTAGTCTTGCGTAAAAAAAATAGGGGATAAGAAAAATTTCAGATCGATATCTCAAGAACGGAAGATTTATTTCGAGTCTATATAGACAGACGGGCATGACTAAATCGACTCAGTTCTTTACGCTGACCATTTTTATATAAACATAAAGCAACACCTTTACCAGTTTTCTTCTGGGTTTCACAAACCTCTTGGATAACTGTACCGGTTCATTGCAAAAATATAGTATTTTAACAAATTTTACACAAACAAAACTCCACTCTCTATACAACACCCCGACTTACTTGAGAATGTCGCTGCGTCTTCCTTGAGTATCTTCAGTTCATTGCGCAATTTGGACATTGTCTCGCTGACCACGGTCTTTTCGTTCTCATATTTCGATTTGAGATTGGTGAGCGCCACCTCGGCGGTCTGTTTGTTGGACTTCAAGACCGTGCGCAATGTAGCGATTTGATCGCGTTTGAGTGAGAGCAAGCCCTTAAGGCGCACGATTTGTTCTTGCAACTCCTCGACTTCCTCGCGATTGTATTTATCAGCTTAAACGAGAGAAATATAATTTTTCATTAGTACCAATAGTAAATAGAAGAAAATATTTAAAGTATTTACCTTCAGAAACATCGCCGCGCACTTTATTTTTGTTGTGCTCAATTGTGTGCTCGACAGCGGTTTTCAAATGCTTGAGCTGATCGCTTACAGTGTCGACGTACTTTTTAATTTCAACCGAATCGGCAAGTCCCTGCAAATCCTCAATCGTGTGTGAGCGAGAAGTGAAAATGTCGGACTTGAACTGCGATTGTATGGCAGTAAGCGAATCGTTTTCGAAGCTGTAAATCAAATTGTATTCAATTTGAGGTTATATTACAACACTAAAGCAATTTTAGAAACTCACCTCATATCATCGCTCTTCGTGTCGAGCATAATACGCGTCGGTATCTCGCCGTTAACGGTGCAAACGAGATGATATAGCTGTGCCAATTCGTCACTTAAGGCCACCAAAGTGGAGCGTGCCGCACCCAAACTTTGGCCGGCATTTTGTGAAATACTTGTGAGCGTCTGCACATCACTTTGCAGATCCAGCGATTTCTGCTCGGTGCTGAGCAGTTTATTTTTCAAATTTGTGACCTCATTACGTAGTGTTGTCATTGCGTCGGTGTAGTTGAAACCCTTTTGCAGTTCCACTAAATCAGTCTTGAGACCGTCAATCTCTTTGGAGGATAGTGTGAACCAACTGTTATACTGTGCGAGTGTATCCAGCAGTTGTTGTCGTACATTTTGTTCGTCATTGCGTCGTTTCGCCGCTTCCATGGAATCATCTTTAATGTCTAGCTGTTTCTTCAACTGTAGCAATGCATCGACATGTGCCGTTAGTAGCGCTAGACGTGCCATGAAATTTTGTATTTCATTTTGTGATTTATCCAAACTGGTTTGTGCCTCTCGTAAATTCGCAGTGAGTAGCATTTTCTCGTTTTCAATCGATTCTAATTGTTTTTCCAATTTTTTCAACTCATTCAAATGCACCTCGGAGAAGAGATCGCATTTGGTGCCGTCGGTGGCATTCAATTCTGTGGTCAAGTCGGCTTCGAGGCGCTTCAATGCGAGATTCTCCTCTTCGCCATCGCTATTGGCGCTTATGTTGTCGTCCATATTACTGCGTAGATAGGCCAAGTTGCTTATCTTGTACATGGACTCACGGTTCAAATGACTATCCAATTCCTTCTTGAGCGCATATTTTGCCTCACGTTCGCACTGTAAAAAAGCGTGACATAATAATTGTGTATAAAATCTTATAATATACAAAATTGTTMAAAACTCACTTGAAGAGCCTCTAGAGCTTCTTCCATTTGCTTTTCGGCAATCTTCTTCAGATTTGCTAACTCATCCACTTGTGAGTTCAACAGTTCGACCTCTTCGGTTAGACGACGTATCTCGTGTTTGGCACCTTCAAACTCCACCTAACGGTAAAAAAAATATATATAAAAAATAATAATAATAAAAAAAATAAATAAATAAATTAAATTATAGAATTCACTACCTCAAACCCGTAAACCACTTTAAAACTCCCACTCGTTCGAAACTCACCTGCGAACTTCTCAAGCTCGACACCTGCTTTTGCAGCGATATGTTTTCCTCCTCCAGTTCGGTGTATTCCGTTAGCATACGTGTCTCACGAAATTTCAGATCCTTCACCTCGGCCTTGAGGCGTAGTTTCTCAGCCTCATTATCTGATTTGTCGCGTCCAATGTCGGTATTCTCTTGCAGCATACGATCACGTTCGTTGCGTACTCGTTCCAATTCGTGACGCAATTGCTTTGTCTCATTTTCCAAGTCGAGTATTTTACTATTCAATGTTGTCTCGAGTGCTGCTGTTTCGGTGAGCAAGGACTCCTCCTGTTCGATGCCAGTTTTTGTGGTGACCTTTTGTGAAGTTTGAAATTTGGCTAGTGCCTGTAAAGATAAAACGAAAATATGTTGTTAAAAATCATATGTTTCGGGGAAATATTTGAAGTTGGCTTAGAAATTTATATTCTAAATTTTTTTTTTTTTTTTGGAAATTGTTGGTTGGGAAATTTACTATACTTTATTTTTTCCCGATTTCAAACCGAAGCATGAGAAGTCTAAATGTGCCGTTCTCACGATAGTCAGGTCTACGAGGCCTGGATTTATATCCGGTGAAGGACTGTCAAACCGGCAGCAGTCCAGATATTTTTTCAGGAATGTTTTCGAAAGCTACAACAACAAGTCGAAAGGCGGCTTCTGAGTGCTAAACGGGGCTTTTTGAATTTTGAAAATTGTACTCTATTTTATTTTATATTTTAAACCGATTCCTGAGAAGCATTTATATGGATCCTGAGAACTAAAAATAGTATTCTCGAAAAAAGCAGAGAAAAATTAAAAGAATTCGAAATTTTATGTTTTATTTTAGGAAATTGTTGTTAGGAACACTTCCAACTATATTTTATTCGGGATTCTATTCTATTTTCTGAGAAGTCTAAAAGTGGGTCCTGAGTACTAATAAGGGCTTTTTGGAGCAAAGCAAAGAAAATATTACAAAATTTGGAAATTAATAATATACTTTATTTTGGATTCTAAACCGATTTCTGACAAGTCAGAACTAAAAATGGTATTTTCGAGCGAAGAAAAGAAAAATTAAAAAATTTCGAATTTTTTTGTTTCATTTTTGAAGTTGTTGGTTGGAAAACTTCAGACTGCATTTATTTTCGATTCTGAGCCGATTTTTGAAAAGTCTAAAAAAGGGTCCTGAATACAAAAAAAAGATTTTTTGGAATAAAAAAAGAAAAATATTACATAATTTAGACATTTTTGGATCCAATCCGATTCTTGAGAAGCGTTAATGCGGGTACTGAGTGCTAAAAATGGTATTTTCGAACGAGGAAAATGTCTAAATTTTTTTAATGTTGTATTTTTCGAAATACTACTATATTTTATTTTCGATTCTAGACCGACTTCTGAGAAGTCTAAAAATGGGTCTTGAGTATGAAAAGAGTATTTTCGGTACAAAGCAAGAAAAATATTACATAATTAGGAAATTTTTAATATACTTTATATTGGATCCTATTTCTGACAAGTCTAAATTTGAATCCCGTGTCCATTTTCGAATAAAAAAATAGAGGAATTACAAAATTTCGAATTTTTTTGAAAGTTTTGAAAGCTTCCGACTATACTTTATTTTTGATTCTAGATCGATTTCTGAGTAGTCTAAACGCGGACCCTAAGCACTAAATGGGGCTTTAGAAACAAAGCTACGGAAATATTTTAAAATTTTAAAACTTTTTAAGAAGTTTTGAGTTCTAGTAATATTTTTTGATAGAGTTGCCAACTAACGGAATTGTGTAAAATTTAACAAATTGTGATCAAAAGTAAGATGTTTAAGAACCCCGTCTGGCATGGCGTCGAGGGTTCTCAACTTGGGAATTTTTTTGGTATAGAGTTGCCATTTATCAAATAATATTTCCGTAAAATTATGGAGAAAGTGAATCTAATTGTTGTTAAGTAAAGCTTATAGAAGGTTTATTCGTATCATTTCAAATCTTTTTAAATAACTGTTTACCTTAGGATTGAAAAGAGACATTTTAAAATTCAATAATATTAATAAAGAAGAAAATGAGAAAAACCAAAAAAAAAATTATTTCTCATAATAAAAAATACCAGAATTGCATTTTTTCACCTTCACTCTATCCCCTGCAACCGGTAAACCGTTACCAGCATATGCATACTTAAATGCGAACATTCAGAGTTTCTATAAAAGATATGGCAACGGTACGTAATTGAATTTCCAATTGACAGTGAACAGTAAATAGTGAGTGAGCAGGTCACAGTGATTATAATGTTTGCGACAAAAGAGTGACTGACGGAATTGCAGGTGTGGCACACACTTAGTAGTAGTCGCACATATTTGCTCTAACAGCTGATTGCGTGTGCATCAGAGGCAGAGCCTTTGTAAGCAATTCCTTACACATAATATGACAATTACGAGCGCTTTATCAACAGATTCCTGTGTTGCATGCTATCTCTCTTCCGTCTTCCGGTGCGCTGTTAGTACTCCTCCTCCACTGCCTGCATACACACACACAATCCACAGCAATTCAAGCGCGTGTGTTTCGCATGGTGAACGCCGTGCAATGTGCCAAACTTTATTATACGCTTATTATAAGTACATGTAGGTACAGTGTGGTGCAAAATGTAAGCAACATATTATGGAATTGTGATTTTCTATGTATAATTCTTAAGATTTTTCATATGCTAAGTGGCAAAGTTTTATATTGATTTGGCAGAGAGCACCGATTTATTGAATAGAAAAATTATAAAAAAAATAATAGTTCCTACAGTAGTCTTCAAAGGACTTCTTTAGGTGGATGAAGCCATGTGTAGAAGTTCTGACAAGTGAAGAAAGTTCTCTGAGCGCTATTTACTTGGGAGTGGCCAGAAATGATTCTTTTATATATTTATGGCTCAAGCAGCTCACGACTTCCGGTCTTAGACCAAGTATCTTCTGGGTAGCAAAAAAAAAAAAAACAAAACATCCATTTGAAGACGATCTAAATTGACGGCGAAGCATCCCTGACTAGGGTTCTGCGCTGGGTTTAGGACTCGCCACGTAAAAACTCCTCTCCATGAAAAGAAGAAAACAGTCTTAAATGAGAAACACCCCTTCAAAGGAGTAGTCTTATGATAAAACTGTAATTCTCTTTGATCCGAAGTGATTAAATTTGTCATCGTAATTATATCTTAAAGTTTTTGATTTTTGAACACACCAATTTCCGTACTTACGACCCAAATTTAATTTACAAATATTTTTTAATTCTAAAATTTTACTATTCAAGGATTTCTGAGAGTCTAAACTGTCTCAAATCGACAAACCGCTTTGAGCTTATTACAAATTTTTGAGTCTAATGTCGCTTTCGGGTATGTTTTCTGGTTCTCCGAAGGTAAGACTGCCGAGATGTTTCAATCACAGTCTTGAAAGTGCTGGAATCTTTCCATCAAATACTCTAGGTCAAATGGATTTCGTATAGGAGTTGGCCGTCGACCAGATCCATTGCAGAACGCAAGGAGCCAATTACGATCCAACTCAGTCCATTCCGATGTGTGTGAGGTAAGGGAGCCTGTGGCTTGTTTAACGGCTTTAGAGTCGCCAGCGAATCTGCTGTTACCAGACACCCAAACCAGTCTGATGATGAAGTTGATGCAATTTAGACCTTTCTTGACTAGCTTTGAGCGCATAGTGTGCGAACTCAACGCTAGTTTTTCCGCTCTGTTGTCGGAGTGAATGCTTACATTTCTGAAAGAGGAGTCCGGTAGCCTAAAGCCAGCTTCGATACAACCGTTAAATCGGTTCCCATGACAGTTGAGTCTTAGTAATCGGAACGGATTCGAATTTTTATCTCGGCACCTTGCATCGAAATTACTTTCCGAATGTTCAATACCGATACAACAACAGTAACCCATCCTATAAAGGCGTCCTGCGGTCTTCTATAGCCACTCTTTCACCTTGACATATGTTTGGGTGTATCTTTGCTTGGTTCTCTTCATATAACCAGCCTTGCTGAAGATGGGCAAAATCGACCCACTGCCACGCCCACAAAATGGCGGAAACCGAAAACCTATAAAGTGTCATAACTAAGCCATAAATAAAGATATTAAAATGAAATTTGACACAAAGGATCGCATTAGGCAGGGCATATTTGGACGTAATTTCTTTGGAAAAGTGGGCGTGGCCCCGCCCCCTACTAACTTTTTTGCACATATCTCGAAAACTACTGTATCTATGTCAACCAAACTGTATAGAGTCGTTTCTTTTAGGCATTTCCATATACAGTTCAAAAATGGAAGAAATCGGATAACGCCCACCTACCATACAAAGGTTATGTTGAAAATCACTAAAAGTGCGTTAACCGACTAACAAAAAACGTCAGAAACACTAAATTTTACGGARGAAATGTCAGAAGGAAGCTGCATCYRGGCTTTTTTTAAAAATTGAAAATGGGCGTGGCGTCGCCCACTTATGGACCAAAAACCATATCTCAGGAAGTACTCAACCGATTTCAATGAAATTCGGTATATAATATTTTCTTAACACCCTGATGACATGTACCAAATATGGATGAAATCGGTTCACAACCACGCCTGAAATCTCGATTATCACTTTATCATGCGAGTGTATAAAATGTTCGGTGACACCCGAACTTAGCCCTTCCTTACTTGTTATTCAATCAATTTACTGCATATTCTTATATTTAAATATAACCTCAAAATGACAACAACAGTTCGATGCAATTTTTTTATTGCCTAAAATCGCCTTTAATTTTGGCAGTCACATTTCGTGTTCCCCTTAAATCCAATAAACAGAGTTGCATATATTTTTCACAACACTGTACATCACACAAGTTACAAGACGGGCATGTATGTGTGCGTTTTATCATGTTTGCCTGCCTCCTTGCAATTACTACATGCAATATTTGTCCAATGTGGCAAATCTCAGGCGACGTTTTATGCGGCGAGCCGCTCCTTAAATGCCCATATCTTTAAGCACGTGCCCCCCAAAACACACACACGCATTCGAAACACAAACATACATATGTAAACATGCGCTGCAGTTGGCATTCATTCAAGTCTGTACATAAGTATGCATGTATAATACATGTTGTATCATGCTTGTGCGTGTGCTCGCAGTGAAATTACCAGAAACTAGCAAAATAAAGCGGAGAACGGCAACAGTTCCAGTGCACAAACTGCCGGCAAAGGCACAAAGGCACATTTTCATGCTTACAACAAAGTTTAATGTATAATATGTTTGAATGTGTGTGGGTGTGTAACATGCCGAAATACTTGCATCCTTATAAACTTGCTCATTTATTCATGGAATTCGTGTATTGTTCTTCCTTGGGGTTGTGTAAGTTTTCCTATACGCTTATCAGCAAGTTTGT